TGATCATATCCCGATAATATTCACAATCTCATCTAGCCTAATGCAAATAAAAATACCACCAGGACTACAGGTGAGCAAAACAGACTGGATAAAATACAAGGAACTACTGGAAAATTACCCACTAGTGAATGTAAAACAAGCAGCACGAAGAAATCAACGAACAACTAGATTAGCTACACAACGCCATAAAGCAAGCAATCAACCAATCAACCCCAGTAATGACAGCTACAGATAGGGGTAGGGTTGAGGAGCGAGGTTTATGTCCTCGGTGTGGGATAAGGTAAAAGTAGTCTATTGGTTTATTTATGTCTTTCAACACCATTAGTAATGCTTTTAGATTTAAAGGTGGAACCCTTATCTGTTTATGTTCATCTGTCGTCTATAAATTATTATTAAGTATTTGTAAAAATCTCTTATTTTCGGTAGACCGCGGGAACTTAAAATTGCTGAAATGAATATACATACTTATTTTAGGACAGGTAGGGAGTTCGATAAACCAATGAATGCGCCAATTAGAAAGCACTTAGAGAAACTTAACCTCATTAACGGAAGCTAAATCTCTATGTGGGTTGGACTGGCCTTGACCTATTCCGTTAAAGATGTTTCCCCTTCTAAATCCCCGTTTTCAATGGTGTCATATTAGTGAAGCAACACCAAATGTAAACATCAAGTGATTTTGAGCCCAGGGTGGCAGGGGTGGAGGGTAGTTGCAATCTGTATTTACTAATAATACTATAATATTTGATAGTTTCAAGATATGCTGGTTCTCGCCTTTATTGTTCCTTTCCACTGCTTATCTGTTAGTTTTTTTTACTTGTCTTACCAAAAATAGTAAGACAGTAAAATAGGGATTGTACAGAATATGCTGGCACTTATTTTCTTTACTGGTGTCACGGTGTCCTGTTAGGCAAACTCATGACAGCGACCCCCGTCGTTAACAAGACCAAACTTAAGGCTCTTTAGCATACACAGACACATCGTCACTAAAGGCAATAATGTGGGAATTTTATATTACAGTTTGTGTAATGTGGAGTTTGTTGTACACAGAGCATCCTAACAGTTACAGAGGGTTTAGCATTTATAGTACACACACACACACACATATATATATATATATATATATATATATATATATATATATATATATATATATATATATATATATATATATATATATATATATATATATATATATATATATATATATTTATAACTTTACCACAGATAAAAGAACATAGTACTGGGATCTCTTGTGACACTAAAGAGAGAAATATATCTGAACTGATGCATCATAATGTCAAGATGCTCCATGAACAGTTGGCAACCATTTATGTAAGCCATGTGCGCCCCCAGATGGATTACGGCTGTCATCTGTGGGCTGGGCGTGGTGTGTGTGTTGGGGCTCTGCTTCCTCGATGCGGCGCAGAAAACAAAATCAGAACAATCAACAATAATGAACTTACCAGAAAATTTCAAGTATTGTATATTCTTAGGAATAAGTCAACACTCCGTATTTTATAGATACTCAAACAGTTAGTGCTGTGGTGAGCTACACTTAGTAGTGCTGTAGTGGATTTCTCCCCTACAAACGCTGTTTGTCGCTGAGTAGCCGACCCCGCGAATTCCCCAGTGTATGCCTCGTGGTCTAGGTCAACCAGCGCCGCCCACGGAGCGGGGGTCAACTATCTACCCACGCCTACCTCCGCTATAAAAGACCTGACCCCGTGGTGACCGCTCTCTCCTCTTCTAGTTACAGCCGCAGCAAGCTACACCACCTCCTCCGCCGCTGCCTGGCAGCCCTCGCTACCGCCAGCGAGCATGGCGACCCACAAGCTGTCCTCCTCTGAGCATCCTCACCAACCAGCTCTCTCTACATCACGCTTGTAACCACGCTGCCACTTCCCAGCACCAAGCTGCATTGTACATCCAATACAATATGTATACAGAGAGCACATTGTGAGTTTCCTTTCTCCATCCCATCCTGAGTGTGAACCCAAACATCCCATACCCCACAGTGCCACCATCACACACCCTCAGTGGCCCCCACCAAAACTCATTTATACCCAGGACTAACACTGTCGAACTCCCTGTCACAAAGTTTTTCTTATGTCACGTAACCTCCATCAGTTTAAATCTTACTGTCAAGGGGCCGCCTCGGAGAACACATCTGACGGCCACACTTACCTGATCTCTCTTCGTACTGTTAAAAAATCTCGAACCTAGAAATGGTATTATTTTTAAATGCTTTTTTTTAAGTACCGGGTAATTAAGCAAAAATAATGACAATAGCAATATCGCTAATAATAATAATAATAATAATTATAATAATAATTCTATTTAACAGATTTTTCATGAACACAGATTGGATCATATAGTAACAAATAATTACACTTCATTTTTTATTTGTGTGGTGGTGAATAACTGGGCTAGGGTCGGCATCTGGGTATAAAGACAAGTTTAAATACCTAAATCATCGTTCAAAAATTAAGTAAAATAGCATTAGATTATCAAAGCCTACAACATACTTCGTGCCTATGAGTTGATGTGGGGTAGAAGTTTTCTCTTGTTTTTTTTTAATTTTAACTAAGTAATTTTACGTACATGCAGTGCCTCATTTACCATTAAAGATCACTACATACTGTTACGAACCCCTCCACCAATTGTCCTGATCTACCTACCCAGCACCACGAGCAACGCCATCTAGGGACGAGATACGAGTATGACTCGTCTTAGTTAACACTCCGGGGTTTCCCTTCTCCATATCCTGGTTGTTGCGTCACTTCCTCCAAGTCTTCTTTGTGAGCTCCAATTCGAGGAGACAGCACTTGGTTCTGGGAAGTGACCACAGGATCACCTATCTAAACCTACGGCACAGTGACTGCCTACCGTCTTCTACAATACTCAGCCTTACTCGTCAGCCATCTCAGCTCCTCACTTAAGTATTTGTAATCTTGTATTGCCTCTCCCACCTCCACCTTGCTTCACGATTGTTTTATGTTTTATTAATATGTATATACTGTTAATGTTTAGGTTAAGTTTGGTTAAGGGTAATTTATAAGCTGAATATTTTGTTAAGGGATTTATGGTACTTTATTGTACACAACAAAAACTCGCATCCTTTGTCTACCCTTTTATAGTCCGATTGTCTTTGTTTTTTTATTGTTGTTACCTGTTGGGATCTGGGTAGACTTTTAACTATATTCTAAATCCCCAACTCGTAACAATACTATTTACAATGTTTCATGTGAATGTCTAGGGATAAAATATGATTTATTGCTGTGAATCGAACAGTGTGTCCAGAGGAGCGTTATATTTATTTATAAAGCAGTTTTAGTTGTGTCACGCGAGGAAAGTGAACAAAAATAACGTTGGTTCTATTTGTTGCCGAATGTGATAGTGCCCATTGTATTTAATTATCAGTGTTTCTTAGATTTACACGGATGGATACGTTAGCGAATGCCTTACGGTTCTCGGAAATTGTTGCTGCCAAAACAACGAGTCTGCCGCCCCTAATGCCAAATGACGCCGGAATCCCTAAACACAGGATTAATCTTCCTGCTTCTAAAATATACCTCATGACTTATATCTATAAATAGTTAACCTTTACCCTCCTAAATGGTGTTTCTGCATATACTTTTTAACGCAATTTACTGATATTTCCGATATTTAGTTTAAAGACCAAGAATAACATGCGTAACCTAAGAAAACCCAACTCTTATAATGTCTACAGATTTAGGTGTGAGTGGTTAGGATGATTGGTTATAAATATGAGAACAATTAATATAGTTTGGTGAATGTGACGTTGAATGTTAGGATTGTGGCGGTGCGCGGAGTAATCTGAAGAGAGAGAAACAGCTTGTGCCCTTCACCATATTGTTGCACTGAACAACTGATCTGAAATTATATTGATTTGAAACATCTCCACATTACAATACGTCCAAGAAGGCGATGTACTTCACAGGATGGATTTTTTAAATTATAGCATGTTTTTCCCTTTGGCAGCCTCACTAACACCAGCAGTCAAACAGCCTACTTCTGAATTAATTTTACGCGTGCATAAAGTGAATGAAACTTTCTGCCAGAAGTGATGTAAACAGTTTTTAGGACAAAATTCCAACCATTAATACCGGGTGCAAATTGTGAATTAATTTTGAGAGGCAGGAAATTCTCGTGTGTGTGTGTGTGTGTGTGTGTGTGATTGATGACCTAAAAATCAAGTTTTGCTAAGTTAAACATTAAATCAAATTTGTCCAACACCTGATTTTCTTTTACTTGTTCAAGGGTTCAGAGTTACTAAGTCGTCAGTTTTTATGACCCTAGATTGTATGCGTCTTCATTACAAATGCACACACAGTTCCAACAGGAATAATTATCATGCCTACTTAGAATCTCTGATACAACCCCAAACTACAGTACAGTATATCATAAGCAATATGTGTTTTCGACCACATGTAATAACGTCTCTCTTTTAAAGTAACAGCATAAACAATGAAAATGATAATTAAAAAAAAAAAGTTGTTCGTACGGAAGGAAAGATAAAAAACATTGTTGTGAGTTGATCCCAGAGTGTTGTAGTGAGTATGCGCGGGTGGTGGGGCGCGTCATCGCCCTGCTATATTGGTCTCTTCTTAGACGTGTGGCTTCACCCTCTTTCTCTTAACTCCTCCTCCTCCTCATGTTTTCCTCTTAACTATAGTACTGTACCTGTTAATTTTTTTTATCATCGTACATCAATATTTTGTTCTTGGAAATTTATTAAATGAAATCATTCCAAGTGTTCAATAGTTTGTTTGCTCTGAAACAATTAAGGATCACCTGAAGATTAGCCCCCAGCTTACTTCACTTGATGAGTAAACACCCTGAACGTTACCTGGGGGGGGGGGTATGTTAGGTTAGTGTTAGGTTGGTTAATCTCTAGATGAAATAAGGTGGGGCGAATCTTCAGGTGACCCGTAATTAACGTCTTGTCTCGACCAGTTGATGTTGAGATAAACACAGTACAGGTTTAAACAGTTTTTATTGCAATAGGTGTAACGCACAGTGACTTCTAGTAGTTCATCAGAATGGTTTATACTTAAATAAGTCATGAAGGAGTAAGATCAGTATAAGACATGATACACTAATTCTCAGAAATCTTACATTACATTTTGCACCAAAGGCAGTTGAAAGTGTAGTTCCTCAGTGGTTCACGCTACATGTTTACTTGTCACTATTTACAGCTTCATAAAACTCATAAAACCAACCGTACATGTAAATCAACAACTGCTTCCTCTTGTATCTGTGACAAATGGTTGTTTTGAACGTGTAGCCCGGCTGAGCCCCCCACACACCAACACTGGCTCCAACACAATGTACAGTTTTCGTTACTCTCACTCACTATTACGGCGCAAAGTCATAGTGGTGGCGTATCTGCGTCCCTCGCAGCTAATTCTGAACGCTGTAGAGGGAGACATAATCTTGGAATATAGTACATACTCTCGAGAAACACATTCACAAGATTCACACGTTTGAGATAAACACACACTCCTCAGGTACATCACTCTGAAATAAACGCATTCTTGAGATACATACACTCTTAAGGTACACATTCAAGAGCTGTACAGGGCGGCGCCCAGGCCTCTTGGTCCATGTCAAGGAAGTTTGTAGGAGAGCTGCACACTCAGAAAAATTTGGCACACCTGGAGAGCAGTCATTGCTCACGTCTTTCCATTAGCTGGCGCCAGCACAACCCTGGAGAGTGCACGTGGGGAAACACCAGCCACACCTCACGCTTATTCTCCCTTGAGATTTGTGAGTGGCACACACCCGCTGGTTTATGGAGCGGCCAACATTGGCAATGGAGATTACTCCCGTTACTACCGTCGACGTACAGACTTCCGTACTGACTTGGTGCGCCCGTGAATGGGCGGAGGACGAGAGTCCTGGTATGGTTGATCCTCCATATACAGACCCAGTTTCAAGCCACATACAAACACTTTTTCTTTAATGTCTTGTTTGAGAGCTCTTAGTTTAAGCAAAATCTCTTCCTTCATGAGAGTGTAACACATGGCGATGATGCCCATGCCTATCAGGAGGTACATGAAATTGATGATAAGTTTGGTCTGGCTATCCTCCGTAGCCCGGCCGAACCCACCGCCGCCAAAGCCCGGAACGAAATCTCCAATACCGATCTTAGCGAGAGAGGTGAAGGAGAAGTAGCAGGAGTTGAGGTAAGACCATTTCTCCCACTGGGCGAACATGATAGTGCCTGTGGTCATATAGAAGATCATGACCCACATGCAAGCAGTGGAGGGCACGATGATGGTGTGCTCCTCGCCCTGATCCTCGCTCAGCTCCGCCTCCTCCAGAGTCTTGGTCTTGTTCCTGTTGATGCAGCGGTACATCGCCCGGTAGAGGAACTTGAAGGACTTGGCGAACACTCGACCCATGTTCATGAAGTAGACGATGTAGAGCGGGATGCCGAGGACGGCATACATGATGGTGGCGATTTTGCCCCACTCTGACTTGGGGGTCATGTGGCCGTAGCCGATCATGGTGAACACGCTCAGACAGAACATGAGAGACGCTGGGAAGTTCCACACTTCCTTGTGGGAGCGACCGTCATATCCGGATTTCACTACTTTCACAATTTCTTTCTGGAAATCATATAGTGTATCGTTGACGTCTTCGTACCACTGGTCTTTATGTAGGACATTGAGGTGTTCTGTAAAGTTCCACAGCGTCCTGATGGTTGTGTTGTGGATGAGCGAGGTGCGGTTCGTCATCCAGTACTCCTCCTTACCCTCGATGGCTATGAAGGCGAAGGCACCCATGATAGCGTACGACACTACCAAGCCACCCACGCCTACTTGCGTGCACATAAACGACACGAATTTCCTACAACAGATTTTGCATCGCGCCCTGGAGCCCTGCGAAGATGACGATGATGTGCCGTAGGAACGTTGGGACGCGACACCATGAGACCGTTGAGACGCACGCCCACGTTCTACAGTCATCCTGCCGGTACAGTCTAAACTTGGGCTCTTACAATAAAAAAGGATCCAGCAGCCCTTTAATTCAGGGAGCGCTTACAATACACCCGGCAGCACTCCGGCACTCTGGTAACAACCTCCCGTCCTGGCTATGTCCACGGCCGTCTACTGATGCTGTGACGAGGTGTGCCCATAGCATCACAAGATTATCCATAAGTCTGTGTATACCTGAGTAAAGTGTTCACTGGTAGGGGGACGAGCACCAGGTGTTCCATGTTTACCCGCGGGTTCTGCCACAGCGACCAACAGCTGATATATTCCCCCGGCGTAGCCCGTCTCTATGGGTGCGGCTTCCCCGGGGGCACAAGCAACACTGTGTCTCCTCTCCCTGCTTCACCTCGCCTCGCCCCCACCCTGCCCCGCTCCGCCTTGCCCCGCCTCGCCCAACGCCGACCCTCCCTGCGTCACCCCAGCCCAGCCAACCTACGCATCTTGCATTCACTGACATAGGTACGCATACTTTCTGTAGTATAACTATAGTGAGTTTCCTGTGGGTATACTGTACCTTGAGTGTAGCGGCCACAGGTGTGCCGTGATGCAGACCACATCTGTCATCCCCTGTCCACACTTTACCAGTCAACACACTCACCACCGAAACTTGTGGTAGATAACAGATGGCCCTCCCTCCCTCCCTCACAAGGTGCTGGCAGCGGCCCAGTCTCACGCTCGGCGGTAATGTCTCATACATAGACAGACAGAAATCCCCAGCATGCCACCGGTCATATGTCATACACAGGTACACATACATCAGTACACATGTACACATACGCTAGTACACAGGTACACATACTTCAGTACACAGGTACACATACATCAATGTACAGGTACCCATACATAAGTACACAGGTAAACATACATCAGTACACAGGTACACATACATCAGTACACATGTACACATACATCAATGTACAGGTACCCATACATAAGTACACAGGTACACATACATCAGTACACAGATACACGTACATAAGTACACAGGTACACATACATCAGCACACAGATACACATACATCAGTACACAGATACGCCGTACACATACATCAGTGCACCGATACACATACATCAGTACACAGGTACACATACATCAGTACATAGGTACACATACATCAGTACACAGGTACACATACATCAGTACATAGGTACACATACATCAGTACACAGGTACACATACATCAGTACACAGATACACATACATCAGTACACAGGTACACATACATCAGTACATAGGTACACATACATCAGTACACAGATACACATACATCAGTACACAGGTACACATATATCAGTACATAGGTACACATACATCAGTACACAGGTACACATATATCAGTACACAGGTACACTTACACAAGGAAATTACACATGTACATATACATCAGTACAATACACAAGTACACGTACACCAGTACAGTAAAATGTAAACTTAGACCAGTGCACATCTACAGACACATACACTAGTACATTACACATGTACACATACACTAGTACACACGTCCACATACACCATTACAGTACACATGTACACATATACTAGTACGCACGTACACCAGTATAGTACACATACACGCATACACCAGTACAAATCTACACATATACTAGTACAGTACACATACACTTGTACAGTACACATGTACACATGTACTAGTACACACGTACACATATACCATTACAGTACACATTTACACATACACTAGTACACACGTACACATACACTAATACAGTACACAAACACTAGTACAGTACACATACACCATTACAGTACACATTTACACATACACTAGTACACACGTACACATACACTAATGCAGTACACATACACTAGTACAGTACACATACACCGTTACAGTACACATTTACACATACACTAGCACTGTACACGCGTACACTTTTGCTGTTCACTAAAAAGTGTTTTGTTTCCTCCTAAGAAAAAGGAAACCCCGTTGCCATTTTTTCTTTTTAAAAAAACAAGACATTGTTCAGAATCTCACTTAGACGACGGAGGTTTGGTTCTCGGGTAAAAAAAATATATATATATATATATATATATATATATATATATATATATATATATATATATATATATATATATATATATATATATATATATATATATATATATATATATATATATATATATATATATATATATATATATATATATATATATATATATATTAGTAATAATAAAATAATGCATATCATCACCAGAGAAAATAATATAATGGTAGAGATACATAAATATAGTCGTAAATTTTAAGAGTTGGACAACATAGTACAGTACTGTCTGGTGCCGAGGAGCAGTGTTGGTGCCAGAGGTGGGTGGTGGTGCGTGGGCTGTGGGTTGCCTTGACGCGTTGTTAAGCCGAATAAATCCCCTGGATAGCGTTGGTCAGAACTATCACCGTTTAGGTATCTGCTTTTTGCTGACCTGACGTGAGATGCCTTATCTGAAATACACACACACAAACACACACACACACACACACATACACAAAGCCTCATTCTCCATTGCACACTTTAATATATACACTTACATAGACCTCATCGTACTTTGTACAGTTGCATACTGTATATATGCACACATCATACATAGTGAATATTTACTCAGCATAGGCCTACACAGCATACAGCAATTTTACAGGTACGTCACAGCTCTCCAGTTCCACTTACATGCACACTTAACATACATGTCATACACATTGCACCAAACCCTGTATATTCACCTCCTAAAAACTTCCACACTCATTATACTCTAACATACACTGTCAGGACGTATCTGGGCCACCTACCTCGACACAAACCAGCTGACTCGAGATATCTGACCATAATTTAGCTAATGTTTGGATGAGTTCTAATTACTCTCAGCGCCATTGGAACGATCTTCATCAAACTTGGCAGACAATCTCACTGGGGTCCCAAACAGGTCAATATTTTACTCCATATCATTTAAATTTAAAACTTGATACTTTTCACTGTGAAGAATTACATTTTGAAAGCATTATATCATGTCAGTGGTTCCCATACACTATATGGTCCGTTAAGGCCAGTATGAATATATCACACTGTATATCAAGCAGGCAGTGTGATCAGCTTTGCACTAGACCGCCTTAACTTCCCCAAATTTAAAGTTATGTACCCATTTACAACTGGGTGGACTTGGAGTGTCCCAAGATTCAAACCAGTGACTCTCAGGATAGCAAGCGAGCGTTGTATTCGCTGTCTCCGCAAGCTGATTTGTTATAGGATAACCATTGACAAGTGGGAGTGTGGGCTGACGTGCTACCTTGTGCTCTGGTCTGGTATAAGCAACATGACCCGTATAAGCTCACCCACAGTTCTAAATGTATCAATATTGAGTGATATAGATCTTGAGCGACATAAGCAGGTGTGCTGCTTTGTGTACTCAAGCCCTCTAGAATATTTTCATAAAGACAAACACTCACACGAGTGGGAATTGTTTGTCACTTCCACCAATTGATAAACATAGACCGAGATGTACAGGAGATTGTTTCATTATAACCCTACAAACGTCCGCATTGGAACGTCGAGGCTTCAAGCTCTTACACACATACACAGACACACACAGACACACACACACACACACACACACAGTACTACACCAACACACTTCAGCCTCCCAAGAGACAACGCTCGGGAAAGCAGTAGCGAGAATTCCTCAGAGTGATTCAGAATATTTATTACTGGGGAGTGAGTTATACGGTGTGTAGGAGGGGAGAGAGACAGTCAGGGTACAGGAGAGCGAGACTTAGAGAACTTGTTCAGTGACTGGTGCCTTCAACTAATTGGTTCACAAAGTAGCAGTATATCAGCAGTTTAATGAGATCGTATGTGGTGTTGGTCCCGGCCGCGAGTGTTGTGTGTCCATGACGGTCTCCTCCACCTGTGATCACTTTTGCTTGTGTGTGTGTGTGTGTGTGGGGGGATTAACTGCTAAGAATGTATTTAGAGATATTTGTATGTATCTGTGTGTGTGTGTGTATTAACATATTACCAAAGTGCTTTTACTTGTTTCTAAATATGTTTGTGTGAATCTGCGTCTTTGCTTTGTATTTATGTTAGAGTATATGTTACATGAATATATGAATGAATGTGTGTGACTGATTATACGATATAAGGCTATCCTCTTGATTCAGCCCATGTACTATTATAGTGCTATACACCCCCCACCCTGCCGCACACCTCGACTTAAACACAGTCATCCCAAAATAAACAATGTGTTTTTGTGAGTCATGACAGCGTTGGCCGTGATCCCCCTGGTGAAGGGCTGACTCCAGTGTTTAGTACCACAAGTGGTTTGATATCAACCCTTGAAACTTCGGACACCTGGCACGGTTGAAAAGAGACACAACATCCTTGCTTCCTCGAACCTGCCAACGCCTAGTTGACAAAGTTGTACGATATATTTTCCTTACAGATATAAGAATGCATTGAGTGTTACACTTAAGCAACGTCATAGCAATGGCATAACTAAATGAACATTCTCGACACCAACTCGGGGGGCTGGGGAGGAGATGTAACTTATGAACCATTGAATATCCAGATCAACGTCTCTGTCAAGGGTTCATGGTTATTTCCGATTTTTCTGTTCACTATCTAGTTCCTATAATGTATAATTTCAACTGTTATACAATGAGTTAATCCTTTTATGAATCCTAGACATTGATCCTTGTCCATTTATTGCATTGTCATGATTATTGTAGTAGTCTGAGATACTGTAGGTGCTGGTGGAAATAATCGTAACATATACCTCTGTCAAGTTTGCGGGTTGCGCAGGGACGGTTCGGCAGCTTGTTTGCTCGAATCATCAAAACCAGGGTTGGAGTAATTGTATTTGTAATTTAATTGAAATGTAATTAATTACAAGAAAATAGGAATTGTAATTGTAATTGAAAAAGTTATGTTAATTGTAATTATAATTGTAATTTAAATGATAATCATGTAATTGTAATTTAATTGTAATTGTGAACTCAGTCCCTTGATTAAATTTTTAAATCAACCGCCATCATGACCATGGTCATGTATGTATTTTTTGTGGGGGCACGGGGGGCAACTCAAGCGCCCGGCGGCACACACTCTAGCTACGCCACTGCTGTAGAGACAATATTTCATTGTAATCAGACGAACTGATTATGTACTAGAAATTAATAAATTAATATTAATCTTTTATTTTAACTGGGGGACACAAGCCCCACAAAGGGTCAAAGCTCAAGGTTGAAGAAGCCGCAAGCCCAGAAAACTGTGAGGGGTAACTTTTTCGGAGTGAGAGTTGTGAACTCTTGGAACAATCTGCCAGAGAGTGTCTTGACGAG